CCAACCAAAGATATGCAACACATACACTATCTCAAAATGCTTATGCCAAAGCACAACTCATCCCAACAAAAGTAGGACAAACCCCACAATGGATCTCATGAACACACTCATCATGAAATTCGAACACCAAGCCAAAGGAAAGGCTCATCAATCGAACTACTAGAAGTAGTATGAAAATAAGAAGTTTAGTTTTAAAACAATTCTATCAAGAAGCATACTTGAAAAAGAATGGTTTCGCAAGATCAACAAGATCCAAGACAAGATGAAAACCCTCTTGGTTTAAACATACTTGACACGAAAAATGGACACTCCATTTAACAAAAATTCCTCACAGGAAAAACTCTCAAAAGAGACAACAAAATGACCACTCAAGGGTGCTTCTAAAATTCGGCCAAGCCTCCTTTATATAGGCTTGAATTTTTCGCCAGCACCTCTAAAAAGAAGACCAATTAGGACTCTCTAATCTTATCTCACAAGGAGTAAAAGTAGAAGAGTACTTGATCTCTTTGACTCTATCTAAAATCTAGGAAACCTTATCTAAATCACTTATCCTCAAGTAGGATAATATCTAGAAGGAATCTAAGACTCCTAATCAAAACACTCTAGCTTAATTCAGTCCACATGACTTATTTAACTAGATAAAATTCGAAAAATTGACTCCTAGACTTAGACTAACTCTAATCTCGAAATTCAGCTCCAAATTGTTGAAGTAAAATGTCTTGAACGCCCTTCCAAAAGTGGAATATTGGTCTTGCGCCCCTTAAGTTGTAGAAACCTCCAATTTACTCCAAAACTTGTAGAATTCACCTTATTGACTCCAAAAGAATGGAAAAACACTTGAAACAATTAAGATAGTTTGCACCCTATCCAATTGTGTAGCAATGGACTCAATCTTGAACACTTGGATCAAATAGGCCGTCCACTCATGAACCTAAATGACTCTTCTCACTAGCTTTGATCAATGATCTTCATGGAGCACACAGAGTCAAACTCTCTTGATACTCTTCAGCACTTATTTCCATGAGGTCTTCATCTCCTTTGGTTTGCGCCCCAAAGTTAATGACATTCTCATCACCTTGATCATAGCTCTCTTGAACCAACTCCCTATCACATAGGTAGTCAAGATCCATCCTTTCTTCCTTGATTGGCCTGCAAAGTAAACTTGGCATTCCAAATCTAGAATGAAGGACTAACTCATTCCCCTCACTAGGAGAACCTCCATGGAAGGCTACATGATTCTCATCAGGTCTATGATCAAAATGGAATACGTTCTGACCAAGAATGTCTTCCTTAGCTGATATGGATGCAATCGCTCCTCTTCAAGTTGCTCTTCGTCTACCACCATTGCCTTCCCCCTCTCCTTCTGCTTCCCCGCCAACGTGGACACGCCAGAGCGTGTCGGGAATTGAAGTTCCGTTTCATGCAATGGAGTGTTTATCGCCCACAGTGCATTTTTGGAGAGAGAGAGAAAGTCTTTTTTTATCCGTATTCTTTTCTTTTTCTTTTTTGTAATTACTAGTATTGCAAATAATTTTTGAATAACTGAATATTACTCACAAGTACTAATATTAGGGATTGTCGCCGAAGTGAAAGCGTTGCGTGCAATACATAAATTGAAATGTCCGAGTCAATTACAGGCTATTTTTGGTAACATATTATGATATTAATCATATGCACTTAATTAAGTTAACTATCTTATCTATATTTCAGTTGTTTTAATTAAACTAGTTAATATATATGTTTAGTCATAAAATTAGAATTCTAATAAGTTTCAAGACTTTTATCCAAAGTTAAGCTTTAAAAGTTTAAAAATTCATCCTAGAGTATCTAAACTTATTAATTACGCTGGCGAGGATTCTCTGGACCTAACGATTCTAGATGTAGTTTCAAAGGTTTAGGACTAAAATTGCAGGCTTTGGTAATAGGGAGATTATATTAGCTTATAGGCCACTTTTGTTGAGTAAACCATGTCAATATAAACCACCTCAAGGTGTTCTTTATCAATCATGGGAAGCCCTACAAGTCTAGTTACTACAAAACAAACTGCTCCTAAGTTGGGGCTTTCTGTACAGACTTGTGTCTAATTTAATGAAACTGCACAATACTTCCAACAACAATATCATCTTCAGGTTTCCCAATTTTTATATGTTTCCTACACCACTAATACCCAGAGAGTATTCCAACCATACTATCATACATCTACAAAACATAAGCTATAGTACCTATAGAATATAAAGAATTGTTTAACTCAGAATTAATAAAATAAAGTAGAGCAATTTTCTTAGTTATCTCTTTGAACGAAAGACTTCGTTATGATTGTTGTTGTTAGCTTCTCTTCTTTCCTTTTCCTTTTTCCATAAGCTTCATGGTGCCTACTTATTTTGTTCCCATCAATCTACTTCTGAAATAATATAATGTTTTTTTGGTTGGGAGTAAATAACGGATATTTTAGCAATTATTTATACTTTTTAAGAGACATATTTGCTTCACTACTCTTCTACCTATAGCTTCATCGGTCGATGTCTCGGAGTTTGAGGAAGGGACCTCATCTGAATCAGAGAAATTTGCTGGTATAAGTGTAGTCCCGCTCTAATGAGTTTTTTAGTAGACATATCCTAACTATGCAAGAGGAAAAAAAAATTAGTGCCTTTCTTGCGTCGAGACAAATCTATTATCTTGGCCCTCGTTATAACGGGATGTTTTATTATGATGGTATATTTTTCCACCTTCTCGATATCTCCTTTCTACTCCTTGGCCTTTGCTTGATCATCTTTGGTCTAGATAACCTCAAGGGGATAAAGTGCTTCCAGAGTTCTATGAATCCCAACAATTGTTAATTATCAATGGGACATCTAAAACGAAGTAGCTATTTTTCCATGAAGGAGAGGTGGAATTGGTTGACACTATATTGGGAGCTTCTGTGTGAACAAATTTCTTGAGGATATACCAGTCCTTGTACTTATCGAGGGGATCCTCACCTTCGGAAAGTAGCTAAACACAATAAGGCTAGGAACTTTTCCTACTGCGGTGCATATTTCATAAAATGTGAGAAACTAGTCATTAGGTTGGGTGTGAATCTCACCTAAGAAAGTTCGCAATGGATCACTATCTCCTAGAATAGTGACAATAGGGCAAACCGAATCCCCATGAGCAATTGTCTGAGATACACAATTATTTTCCCTGTTGGAGTAGAATTAGCTTTTGATTGTCTTTGGGGCCATTGGATTCAAAGAACTAGCGATTTTTTGCTCTTTAGCTATTCTTATTACATCTTCTTGGCTTAATTTCAATTTAAAGTTAGCCACATGGATGGCAAAACTGCTAGAAGACATTTTGCAATACGCCTAACAACTCTACAAATCAACAGGATGGCCGGAAGGATGGATTAATAAAAAATCCCTAGAAATCTAAGTCAAAGATTAGGAGAAATTTGAAAAAGTACAGTTAACTTTTTGGAATTCAAATCAATGAAGGCTTCAAGGCAAGAGTCACCAAGAATTACTTTGTCGGATGGGGCAGTAGTCTACGACGAAAACACCTGAACATTAGTCGCGATGGCAAATCTGCTCAGAAATAGATAGAGTATTTTCTTTTTTGATTCTTTCTTTGGTTGCAGGGAAAATTTTAAGGGTGAAAATGAGAAGGTTTCATCTGTTTTGACATGAAAAAAGATAGTGACTGTGGGGAAGTTAAGGTCGAAATTCAAGGCGGCTAGGCGGTGTTTGAGTTACGTGCGCATTGATGGGACGTGCCCAATACGTTTGTGCATGGGAAATGATTCGGGGCATGTGCCTAAATTTAGTCATATCTGGATGTCCTTTTGAATGCCCAAGGCTTCATTTTGGGCTGGGAGTGAGCTAAAAGGATGATGGGCTTTAGGCCCATTTCCAAGTGAATCTAAATAAACTAATACCAACCTTTATAAATTTCATTTCATAATACTAGTCAGGGGCACTTGGTGAGGTGAATTTATCCGTCCCAAATTAGTACCGTCCCCACTCCAACCCGAAGCTTCCCAAGGTCAGTTGGGTAGTTGCATTCCTACTTGGATTCATACACAAAAAGGTAATACACAATATATAAATAGGGATAGATGCACCACAGTCAAGGTACCTTTTCTACAGAAAATTCATACAATTATTCCAATCACACTTTGCTAACTTAAATTTCAGAGAGTCTACCCTCATGAGACCCCCGTGATCTTGTTTTGCATATTAGATTGTTGCCAGAGATCGTAGTTTCAACATAGTCAGTTTCTCCTTCATTAGCTATCAAATTCTTCTTGCAATCTCCAACTCTTTTCCCGTCAAAATGGAGGTTATCTCTTTTGTGATAAAAACAATATTTCATACAACCTTAAGAGTGGCTTCCTTTTTGTAGGAATCACATTGATTGCAGGAGGCATGAGAGTCAAGGAGGTGTGCAGGTAGATGGGGCCAAACAAGGACCAAAAGTTCTCAAATGATTTTGATGTGGTCTATGTAGTAAGTAGCTGCTCACTTCTTGTTATAGACAAACAAAATCAGGCAATTTGTGAGATCCAATTTCAATTTGATGATTGTGCTCATTAATATGGAAGTGGCTTTCTACTAGGTCAGCACTATGCCAACATTTCTTGCATCATCTTTCAACTAACAGTTCATTCGTTGATAATCTTAAATTTGGTGTAGGCATTGTAGAGCTTGTGGCTGCTGGCTTCTTCAGCCTCATGCTAGCATTGCTGCAACGCCTGGCTAGTCTCATAGTATCTACTCAAAATATAAGTTTAATAAATAGTGATGCATGTGTCCTGGTCACCTTTCTTCAAGGAACCTACAACTCATTAATTTGGGAAGGAGAATGTAAACATAACATACATCTTTTCTTATAGTTTTTCCCCAAGTACCAATTTTTTTTTATCTGGTGTGTAAAATAGTGCATTTCTACTTGTTAACAAACCTAGAATTCTCAAGATGAGAGTTTGCTGAAACCAAAGTTCATATCTAAAGCCGATGAAATTAATGAGTGGCATTCCAACCAAAGGTGATGGAGAAAAGCAAGAAGAGAACCTATTTGGACTCCTGAAGGTTGGCAGCACAAATCGGAGCATCTGGCTTGGAAATCTTGGGAGGCATATTCCCTTGGATTCAAAAGTCAAAGAATCTACATTCTCAAACACCGGAACAACAATAGTACCAGCAGTATAACAAGTATTTAAGTATGTGGCCGATAAAAGATAGCTATGTTGTTCCTGATGAAGATCTCTATTGAAGCGGGGACCTCCACCTCTAGAAAAACCTAGCCTTTGTGTATGAAGATTTTAGAAAGATGCAACAGCTCCGGCAAAACCGTGCTTTTTACAGTGGATGGGAGGGAAACTTTCAATAGCAGACGTAAGAACAACATCGACATCATCAGTATTCGACAACTCCTAAAACTTTTTATGAGTTGAGCTTGGAGAAACCCAATGAAATTTTCTTCGGTATAGTGCAACAAGATGGGTAGCAAGAAGCTATGGTGACACAACCATTGGATCCTAGAAATCCTATCTACAATTGCAGAAGCATTCACTCTCGAAGCAAGTCCAGATGTGATCAACTATATATAAGAATTCTTAAAATTGAAAAACAAAAAAAAAATAAAAATCGAAAAGAAAGAGAAGAAATCTACCGAGGAAGTTGTTTCGTGATGGCCACAATTGGTGAAAATGGTGTAGGACTTAAGTCTCACACACTTTTGACATTTCGGCACCCCTGAAATTATTTTATTCAAAGTAAATGGTACATCAAAACTCAAGGGATTTGCATGCAAGTTTACAAACCTTCATGAACACACATTTCAGCATATACGATTATCTCCCAAGTATAATGGTTGGTTTTGTTTTTAGCTCATATCTTACTTCAGAACTCACTGATAAAATACTTGCCCCTTTTTCCCAATTCACCACTTCAATCACCGCAATCCAATCAGCCACTCTTCATCAGTTTCATGTAAGGTTTAACTCACACACATTTTAACTTTCTGCCTCCTAAAATCGTTGGGTTAAAAGTAAAGTTATATCAACCTCCACGGGCTTGATTGCAAGTCTATAGATGTTATGAACACACTTTTGAGCATATTTGTTTATCTCCCAAACATAACGGTTGATTTTGTTTTTAGTTCATATCTTACTTCTAAAATTACAGTAAATACTTGTCCCATTTTCCTAATTCTCCACCTAATCACCACAATCTACTCAAACCCTCATCATCAGTTTCATGTAAGGCTTAACTATCACACACATTATTTGAAATTTCAGCACCCCAGAAATTGTTGGATTCAAATTGAACACCCCAAAAATTGTTGGATTCAAATTGAAAGGGATATAAAAACTAAAGGATTTGATTGCAAAGTTAGAGATCTTTATGAACACACTTTTGCGCATATATGCTTACTTCCTAAATATATATGCTTAGTTCATATCTTACTTCTAACCTACCCCATAGTACTTGCCCCTTTTTCTGAACTCACCATTCAATCACCGTAATTCAATGAAACGCCCTTCATCAATTTTACAGAAGCCCTAACCATCACACACTTTTGAAATTTTTGCAACAAATCTAAAGATATATCAAAAGTATATCAAAACCAACGGATTTGATTGCCAGTTTATGTGTCTTTATGAGCACACTTTTGAGGATATTTATTTGCCTCCCAAGAATAACGGTTGGTTTTGTGTTCAGTTTATATCTTAATTCTAAACTCACCAAACAATTCTTGCTCCTTTTTTCACAATTCTCCACTTCAATCACCATAATCGAATGAAACCTTTTTCATCAGGTTTAACTCTTACACTTTTGAAACTTTGCACCTCGGAAATTATTGGGTTGAAATTAAAAGATATTTTCAAAACTGATGGATTTGATTGAAAACTAACAAATTTGTGCATATCTGTTTATCTCATAAATGTAACGGCTGTTTTGTGTTTAGTTCAGATCTTACTTCTAAACTCACAGACAAATACTTGCCACCATGTCCCAATTTTTCACTTCAATCACCGCAATCCAATTCCTCTTCATTAGTTTCATGTAAGCTTAACTCTCACACAATAACACTTAACACACACTACTTTAGGCAGCCATCTTTCAAAACTTTTGTATCCATGATCTTGTTGTGCATGCGTGTGAAATTTTTTTTTTTGTGTTTTATGATATTAAATTTATTGAAAATAACCAGATGATTTGTTTCTCGATTTTGACTCTTGGCCTTCATTTCGGAATTGGCTTAGGAATCACAAGCTTAGTCTTTTCATTCTTTGGCTTAGACTTCTTCTATGGTTGTTCATGTACTTTTTGTTTCTCCTTGTGTTTCAACTGAGTGGTTACCACCAATGTATTTGATTGTGTTGATTTATCCCTTCTACATTCACCATCTGTATGGCCAATCTTGCAATAGTTTATATAATAGGAAAGAATGTATTCACACATTAAAAAGTGCTAATGCTTTTTGGCTTTTTTTCTGAATCCTAATTGACTTTGGTAGCTCCTTCATTAAATCAACCTCTACACAAAACCACGCAATTGAAGGTCTCGTCAAATTTAGGGTTACTTGCAAGGGTTTCTCAATGGTTGTGGCAATTGAATAGAGAACTTTATGATGAGTCCACTTGAACTGCAATTCTTGAAGCGAAACCCATGTTGTTACAATTGGGGTCTTCCTCAAACTTAAAATATGGACTCCATTTGAATATTTTCATCGGAAAGCCTCCCATTTCGCATATCATTTCCATCTAGCATCGTTGGTAATCTTCCTCAAGATAAAATTGCATCAAAACACAGCATGGATTCATAAGCCCTAGAAAATTTTTTTTCGAAAACCCTCACTTAGTTCCTTCATTTTGGGTTGTCCCCAGGAAAATTTCCCAAATAGGCTCATACTATGAGAGGCAATCAGTTCCTAAAATTATTCATCATCATACTCCAATTCAAGAACTCCATTGATGAATTGATTTTTCTTTTCAATTTGGTATAAACAACAATCCAGTGGGGATCGTTGTCGGTGTATTCTGATTGGTAACCTATTAAAAGAGGCTAGTGAATGTTCTCGATGATTCAATGGGGATTGTCATTGTTGTTTCTCCAGCCGTGGTGGCCGCAGGCCAAGGGCCGCCGCTAAGAAATTACAGTCTTGTTTTAGACAGTAGCAAGAGAGAAACTTTAGAGAGTAGATTGCTAAGAGGAAGGTAACTATTAATTTAAACATTATTTTCTTGAAGTTATTTGAATCCAAACATTGCACCTTGTAAAGTTTGAATTCTCTCCAACAGGTAAAGTTAGAGATCCTCCTTTTTTGTGGTATGAAACTGTGTTCAATCAGGTACCATTACATTGTTAGGTCATTCTCGATTGTTCCAAACAGAGTCCTAGTAACAACAAGCCCACTAACTCTCGTTATTGACTCCGGAATACTACTAAGCCATTAAGTACCTAAGTCCTTTTGATTGTCTCGTGCCAAAAAACTAACTTTCGTTGTTGTTTGAAACCTTTGATTGTTACCCCCTCATAATCGGCTAATCTTGGACATTCTAAGTAAAGTTTACTCTTTCGGGATTCCCCTAATATGCAATCACAATTAGTTAAGTGGCCAATTCAACTAATAGGTAAATGAAAACTCTAAGATAATGAACACAAATATCATCAGAGAGCTAAATCAAAGAATAATTATATAGAGTAGAGAGATTAAACCCTAGAAAAGAGTTTAGCTACACATACTAGGAAGCTTAAGCACAAAAGAAACTGAGTACAAAAGGTCCAACACGTTTATACTCAGAAAGGATAGGAAATAGGGGAAGAACAAAGTCAACGAGTGTGGTAAAGTTCTGTTGACTTAGATAAGTCAGCTTCTAACTTCCCCAAGTGACACCGCTAAGTTCGCTTCCAAACTAATGCTCGATTTTCTTCTACCCAAAACTACAAAAAGCTAACTATGAATTTCTTCCTTCTCAATCTGATACCTTCTGCTGTTGTTTCTTCTGGCTTTTATAGAGGATGGAGGGAGTAAGCTTGCTTAGTGAGGTTGATCTCCTCTTTGCCCAATGGTCCAAGGTGAGAATAAAGGAGACCCATACCTCTTTCTACCTTTCCCTTGTCTCTAATCACCTTCTAGGAGTGGTTTACTTGATAAAAATCAGATTAAGGCACACCACTTCCTTACTTGTCAGCAACATCACTTCACCTCCACGCCTCTTTTTCCTTAGCCATGAAGGTTGGGTTGAATTTCTCCTTCTTCAGCCCTTCTTTCCGCCGGATTTATCACAGCCACATATTTGCAACATAGGTCCAATCAAGTAATTTTTCATTCTGCCCAGATTTATGCTATTTTGCTCGATTTTGTCCACTTTTTTTCCAGATTTTGCAATTAAGTCCCTAGATCACCAAAAGTCACCAAATTATATTATAAACGTAAAATATCTAACAAATTGACTTAAAATTTAAGTATAAAGAGGCAATTTATGTATGCAAAAATATGTATAAGTTGACACTTATCAACTCCCCCAAACTTGAAGAGTTGCTTGTTCTCAAGCAAACATAACACCTTCCCCTTCATACTGACTCTAATATGAGAATGCAGCAAAGAAAAGTTATCAAATGATGTCACAGAAACATCTCCCATCAATGACAAAGTATGTTCACCATAGTTCATCACCATGAGCAAGGACAGAAACTCCCAGTGTGTGTGTGACAAATCACAAAACAAAGTGTTGGTTATCCTTTTTAAAGTTAAGTTCAATTCAGTATAAATGGACATTCTTGATCCGTACCTATTTCCATCATGCCTGCAACTAGGGTACTCTAACTGAAGTTTGAGACAAAGGGCTTCCTCTCTAAACTGAAACCTACATTGGCCGCATCTTTCACCCTTGCACCTTTTCATCCATGATCCATATTGGCTTTTCTTCAGGATTCTTTCCCACTCATGCCTATACCAAGCATATTTTTTCAGCACGTTTTCGTATTCTAAGCATCTATATTTTTCATCTCACCATGCCTGAGAACTCTCCTCTCCTTGATGTCATGCCTCACCTTTCAAAGGTTTAAAAAGCAACATTTGACACTGCCACTACTCCCTCAATTATTAAAACACTTAGCCTCAAATTTAACCGGTAATTTCCTCATTTCCCAAATCGAGGCCGCCATAGTGCATATGTGATAGCAGTCTAGAAGATGAA